GGATGAATTCTTCTTTTATTGTTGTATATTTATCGGACACTGGAGACTTCTTTGCGATGTCTGCTATTTGGCCAAGAGTATTTGCATCGTGTGCCATAATAACTGTGTAGTATTTGCTGATGTTTGATGTTATTCTATTGACATGCAGTAACCCGTCGATTTGCGGAAACCATAATTCGGAATCAGAGTGAAGGAAAGGTGGTAACTTGACCAAACCTATCGTTTCTACGCTCTGTCCCTGTTCGACTTGAATAGGTGCTGATGCAGCTGCCAAATTCTGCTGACTTCTTTCTGTCATGCTCATGTAAGTTGCCACCAATTCCGATTAAAAAAAATTATGTGTGCAAAATTTTGTTTTTTGTATCTTTTTAATTATTCAATCGTAAAGACGAATTTTGTTTTAGTATCTCGTGAAAACGACTTATTTGTTTCTTTGTTTTATTTTATTACCTCTTTGATTTTATATTGATCGGGGTCACCAATTGTGGGTTGCTAATTCCACTATAGCTTAAATTTTGTGTGCTTGCTCGTTGCCGGTTCGTATGCAAACGAAAGGTGCTTTTTTTGTTTTTTTTTGCAGTAGGTGTAAGCATCGACAGCCGCCGTGTGAGACTTGAACCCACTCTTAGGAATGGATGTGGAAGATTGCAGCCGCGTTCAGCGAATGCAACCCCCATTCCAGTAAACGAAAGTAGAAGGAGAGCAGAAGGGCTTAGTATTCAGCAAGCTAAATTTATCAAAGCCGAAGATAGACTAATACACTTAAGAAGGATGGAAATATCGATGAAGGAGATGGGTTTACGCAAGATTGCGAGGGGGTCTAATTATGTATATACTTTACAATCAGGTTCAAAAAACCACGATTGTAAAGTGGAATAAGTGGAGCTCGGATGAGCTCTTCCTCAAGATAGTGCGCAAGGAATTGTGCAAGGCTTATACCTCATAATCTCAAGTAAAACTGTTGGGAGGGGATCTACTTGTAGAACGTCAGGTGGGTTTCGGCCGCCAGTAAAGTAACGCCTAGCTAGTGAAAGAAGGTATTAATCAATCCGCGTAATTCTAGCAGAGTTAAGGAGGAGAGAGTTAGGATGGTGTTTGCCACACGGCCTTCGCCGGTAGTTCACACAATCTCGGATAACTTTTCGTTCGAAGATTCGGATCCGTTCCATCTGGTGGGAGCTAATTCCGGACCAGATAGGAAAGGCGTATGAAAGAAGGGGTCGAATAAGTTGCTTATAGCAAAGTACTTTTACTTTGCTATTAAAAGAAAGGTGCTTGATTGCGTTCTGTTTTTATACCATCCTTAATTTGTGATGTCACAACGTTGCTATCATGCTTTCCGCGTGTTATAAACTATTTGTGGTTGCCATATCCGCCACAGAACTATCCATAATTAATCTTTTTAATATAATCAAAAAAAATAATTTTTATACCATATAGTTTTATTTTTAAAATTTTCACATCTCGATGTACTAAATAGCTTATTAAACTAACAAAATGAAAGTTTTTAAACTCATGACAACTTAAACTAACTTACCTCATTTTAAAATCTGCTAATTCCAACTTTTTACTGCATTATTGATTCTACTGTATTATTTTTTTTATTAAATATTTTCTAATTTACAATTTGTACACGCCTTAACAGCACATTCACGGTTCCTCATTTAAGCGGTTTTGCTCACCTTTTAAAAATATATTTCCCACACAATTTAAAAAACTTAAAATGTGTTTTATACGAAAAATGTAAACAAACAAAAGTTTAGCTATAAATAGCAAAATTTATTTGCAGGTATATCAAATTTTAATGTTCTTTTACATAAGAATTACTTACTTTTAATCTATTTTACAATCTATACCTCTTGTATTCAACAACTTTCTGCTATTTTGGTTTACGGCACATTGAAGGTTTATATCCCTAATATTGTTTACAAATAACATGCTTCAGTTATAGTAAATTAAAAACTTACCCATTGTACCAAAACATTGTTGAAAACTAAAAACCTTAGGTCCTCAGATGCATTCAGTCTCCTTATTAAGTGGACTGTATTCATGTAAGAGTAAAAGAATTTATAACAGGTCCAGAAAAAATAATTTTAAACAAATGCACACGGTTAATTTGCCAAAGCCAAAGAGATTTGCTACGATTCTGTATTCAGCCGACGATCAAATGAAAGAAAAGGATGTTAATTTCAAACTTAATTTAATAATATTTATTGGCCGTACTAACCAAAATCTAACACTTCCTCCGGTTTGTAGCAAATATCGACAAAAGTATTACTATATGTCTTTTTTTACTTCAAATGATTTTTTCTGGTGCATTGATCGACATTTTTGGTGCTTAAATATTAGGGTTGTTCACGAGTTCGAGAAACGAGCTCGGTAACCGAGTAAAAGTGCAACTAGTTACGCTAACTCGTGAGCACACGTGATTGTGTCGATTTGTTAACGACAGTTGTTAAAATCAGCTGGTTTTTGATGAATTTGTAAGTGATTGTGAAAACTTTTGTTTTGTTTTGAGAATTTAAAATAAATATCAATTTATTATGCCAAAATTAACTGAAAAAAGCAAAATTGTTAGCTTTTTAGTAACAAATAGTTTAAACAGGATACAAAGGCTTAATGGTAAGCATTGTTAATGGAAAATATAATGTAATAATATTTTTCAGATGAAGGTAGTGACGAGGAAGAAGTTAATGATATATTGAGCGATTTAAGATGGAATGTGTTGGTTTATTCCAATCGTCGTGGTTTTAATCATCGTACCAAAAAGCAGTGACTGGCGCAATAACATTTTAACCAAGTTAGATGACGGTCGGTTTTTGCAAATGATTCATGTAAACAGAAACTAATTTGCTTATTTAGTTGCCTTGATTTCTGAAGCTGAAATATTTAAAAAAGCAAACGCCAGCAAACAGTTTCTGATTGCACTACAGTTAGCTATAGTTCTGTATCGTTTGGGCTCTTCAGGAGAGAGTGCGTCAATTAGGAAGGTAGCAGCTACTTTTGGAATTGGCGATGGTGCAACTTTGATGAAAATTACACAAAGAATTTTTAGTGTTTTTATAACACTATTGCCGAAGTACATCGTATGGCCAAGCTCATCAGAGCAGGAACAAATAAAAAGTGACACGTACAATGAAATAAATAAAAATTGCACCGAAATAAAAATTGCAGAAGCACCACAAATTAATCATGAAAAATATTTTTCAAGAAATCACATTTATTTCATTAAACTTCAAGCTGATTGTGATTACAAATTAAGAATAAGAGATGTTGTTGTTGGTTATCCCGGCTCGACTCACGATGCTAAAGTTTTCTCGAACTCGATACTTTTAATAGAAAAAGATCGATTTTTTTCTAATCAATCATGGATTGCTGGTGAAAATATTCTAATATTTTTAAATTTTCCTCATTTGTCCATTATTTTCGTACTGGATTTTTTCTTTTCCGTGTTTTTGTTTGTACATTATTCACTAAATTTAATCATTTTAATTTAAAAATTATATATAATTTATTAACTTACTTTTGCCAAATGTCCTGCTCTTCACTTAATACAATATTTAATATTAATCAAAACCAAAAACAAAACATATTTTAAATGCTGCCCATACGAAATGCTTAGTATAAATACATTTTCGGAGTAAAATATTTTCTTATGTATAAGAAATATGGCAACATTGAAAAAAGAGTAAAAGTGCAACGTAAATGTTAGTCAAACCAAATGCTTGACTAATATGACTAAATGCTTGACTAAATGAAAGCTCTTCATGGCATTTTGACAGTTTGAAAAAGCTGTTTTGACATATTTATAAAAAAAGGTAAACAAATGTTTGGTGGTTGCATTTTCTTTAAAACGATGCACCAATTTTTGGAACTTCTACTTCCCAAAAATAAATAAATCGAATCTAGAAACAAGTTTTCAGTTTATATTGTAAAATTTGAAGGTATATTTAACCTTCCTGTAACATTTTTTTGGCACAGACCAAAAATTAAATCAACATGCAAGTTGAAAAATCAGCTGTTTGAAATGAGAAAAAATGAAATACAACGAATGTAAACACTTTCAAATGACTCATTCAGAATGAGCCATTTTCAGCCAGTGTAAACGCCATATAACGTAGTAACATTGCAACGCATTACTAGACATGTATTTTGTTGTTGCTGCGTTGCACTTTTAATACGTTACTCGGTTACCGAGCGCGTTACTCGAACTCGTGAATAACCCTATTGATTTGTTCGTATTGTGCACTGTTTTTGTATATAAATTTTTTTCGTTTTTCATTGCAAAGAAATTATTTTACACAATACCAAAATTCTTCTCTTACAATTAATATTTAAACAAACAAAAGTTCTTTAGTAGCTTTTTTGAAATGTAAGAAAAAGCCCTATCAGCTGTATAAATTAGATTATTATGATGTGAACGCTCAGCTTTTGAAGTCATTAAAATAAATAAGTATGTGCCTAAATAAGACATTGTGAACATGATATAATTATGTTAAGAAAATTTTTTTAATACATGTTTTGGTTATTTTTTATTTTATTTTTTTAATTCAAATATTACATCACTTTAATATATTTCCAACAGTGTTTTCATATAAAACTGTTTTCATTAATGATATGTTACTATTGATATACCACTATGTTACAATAGCGCTTAGTATATCCTATATAACTGATATGTTAATGGATTATTTTATAAAGCCTAGTAGTAACATCCAATGCACATGAAATATTGAAATAAAAAAATAAAAATTTTTTTGTGTGGAGTGCAATGTCAAAATTTTGCAAAAAAATTTTTTGGTGTAGAGATTTATGTCACATTGCGAAATGAATATTCGTATTAAATTAAAGCTTATAAAAATAATATTACAATGTTAAGAGCAAGACATATTAATATTATTCATATGAAAAATTTTGTTTATTACTACGAGTATTTGCTATATCTGAAAATTTATATTAGCCCTAAAGTTCAGCCTGTATGTTTCCAGGATTAATATTAGCATTTAAACATTTAAACACGAGAATTTGGATGAAGAACTTATAATTAATAATAGTATTAATGTTTTCACAAATATCAAATACAGGTTTCAAAAATTTAACATATCTCATTTTTAACTTATAATACAGTTTAGTGATTTAAAACCCTGCAAAAACGTTGAGAGAAAAATTATCATATGTTGACCTGGAGGCAGAAACCGGCATAAATGCTTTTTAGTTAAGAAACGGTATAATTTGGTAGTTTCAAAATCAAATTTTATTTGTCCTTAAAGCTTATGTTTCTTGCAGAGTTAGTATTATTCACATATGAAAATTTAGGTTTAAGGAGGTAACAAACATTTTCGGAAAGCAGACCTTGGAGAGGCTTGGTGTAAATAATCAAAAATAAATATTGAATTATGCCTCGAGGTAAACGCCGGCCACTTGATATGGGCGAAGATCAGCATTCGAAGCGACAAAGAGGAAATTATTCAAGTCAAAACCAATCAAATGTTAGGTAAGAGGTACTGCATGTTAAATCTATTAATTTTGAGCTTATAGCCAGGCATAACAATCTATAATAAGCTAATGTTAGGGGCATAAAATTTATAGACAATTTCATACTATAACATTGTGTCCTTTAAAAAAATGAAATCTTTAAGTTATAGTCAACATAACATTAATATTTATGCATTTAATAGTGTTATGTATAGGCTTATATTAAAACAAAAAGCAAATCAATATTAAAATGGATTTAAATTCATGTAGACGTTTTTTGAGGACTGAAGACAGTTTTAGCCAGAAACGTTGTGTTGCTTGGTTTCATGAATATACGAACCCAGATGAGCCGGACACATTAGGTAAAATTATTACTTTACTTGTTTAAAATATTATATGAATATATATAAAGGACCGGATGGAATGGAGAAGTTTTGTGAAGATATTGGGGTTGAACCAGAAAACGTTGTTATGCTTGTGTTGGCTTATAAAATGGGTGCAACTCAAATGGGTTTTTTTAAGCAATATGAGTGGGTGAAGGGCTTTACCGAATTAGAATGCGATTCTGCTATTAAAATGCAATCAAAAATAGAGCATCTTAAAAATTATCTCAATGATCCAAACATCTTTAAAAGTATTTACAGATATGCTTATGATTTTGCAAAGGTATTTATGTTCATTTTATTTAAAACAATTTGTTTAAATATGTCTTTCGAGTTACAATTGTAATTTTATTTTTAGGATACAGACCAACGAAGTATGGATCTTGTAACAGCAAAAGCAATGATGCAACTTCTTCTTGGCAAACATTGGTCCCTTTTTGCTCAATTTGCACAATTTTTAGACCAATCGAAGTACAAAGTAATAAACAAAGATCAGTGGTGTAATATACTGGAATTTTCGCGTACGATTAATGTAGATTTGTCAAATTATGATATTGATGGAGCATGTATGTTAATTTTAAAAATCTTTGTTTGCATTATGTGATTAAAAATATTTTGAAGGGCCTGTTATGCTAGACGAATTTGTTGAATGGCTTCGATTACAAAGAACCAAAAAAGTCCAGAGTTGAACTTCTTCGCAACCTTAAAGTTATTGATGTATCAGAACACCAAGGGATATAAAACATTTTAATTTCTTAAATTTACATTATTAAAGTAAGATTAAAAATGAAATAAAAGATTATTTTAATGCTACTGAGTAAAATATAAAATGTACATAAAGAAGAAATATTTATATTAATTATGTACATAAACAGTTAACCTGTTGTGTCCATTTGTGGCTTTATTGCTTTATACCATAGAATGGTCAGGTGTAATTTGGAGTTCGCGTGAGAATATTTGTAATAACTAAACAATAAGGTATTACTCCATGTAACATAAATTTATTTACTTTTGATAATAATTAAACTGTTAGAATTTCCAGTGCTAAAAACCAGGGCCCCAAAAGTTCCTGATTAAAAAAAAGTCAACTAATAACTCATGCGCCTTTTAAAGTAAAACTCAAATCTATATATATATGATTGAATTATTTTAGATGTCGTGTTCCAACAATATATGAACTTCTTTCAATATGTATTGCTTTTTTATAGTATATTAATTTACAAATACAAAAGGATTACAAAAGCAACTTTTTCTCAGAAAATATTTTATTACTAATAATGGAATACAGTTAGAATATATGTTTCTAATTGACCAAGTCCATAAAAATTTGTTTAATTCATAATTATAAAATATATATGAAAAATTTGTTAGTACACATTAAGTACAATTTAATATCGATTTCACAAATGTATAATAGTTTTTCGTCCTAGAATATTGCTCTTACAATGCGTAAAGTCGATTTTATTTATATAAATGGATACAGTTCAAAAATAATATATATATTTGTGTTAATATATGAGGTTCTTTTTCAAAGAGTCGTGAACTACAACAAAAATTTATTTTTATATTTACATTATTTGAATTTTTGGCTGACTACACAGTTGTTTCGAGTATTGCCAAATACTCATTATCTATGCTCTTGGAAATAATTCTTGTTAATTAATTTTAATTATTCGTAAATAATTTTTTGAGACTGTAAGTACCAGGAATCGAACTCGTGCTCTGCCAAATTTGAAGCTCAAAGTCAGCGTACCTTAACCAACTGACCCAAAGCTTGACTTGACTTTTATGTTCGCACGTTTATATGGTCAAATTGTAATTACAATTTTTAAATAAAAAAGAATATCTTTTACATGTACCAACTGTTTCACATTTTGTCTGAAATTATAAATAAAATAAAGATTTTAAATATAAAATGCCCGAGCGTAAACTCGTTTTAAACACGAGTTTTGTTATGCTGTATTCAGATCTTTTAACATAGCAAATCTGTACATGTAATCGTCACATACATACTTAGAAATTCTTACAATGTCACTATAGAATTCACAATGCGCACTTAATTTTTAAAAGATTCTATTTATAATTAGCATCTCCTCTAATCTCTGCTCTAAGCTTAGCATAGTGCGTCCATCAATGTTAAAGAATTATATAACAAACCCTAGTGTAATTTATCAATAACACTTTACGTCGCATTAATAACCATGATTCAAAACCGCATGATTCCACATATTAACTCTTTAAGTAGCAAAAGCACTGAGAAAATCTATCTACTTCAGAAATGGGCAGAGTATGCACATCCAATTTAAAGATATATATTCGTATATATGAAAAAGTGATAAAATAATTTTTTCGTACAAGAGTATGCTTCTAAAATTTAACAAGAGATTTAAAAAAAAATAGAGTATTTAACCTTTTAGTTAAAAAAAAAATTGATATAAAAATATTTATCTAAACCAAAAGAATATAAACAAGCTCTTGACGAATATGGTGTCACTCGTTTCCTTCCAACTTAGAAAAAACCTTGGATGGTGTTAACAGAGGATAAATGGACTAACGAAACTCCCTCGTCAAAAAAAATTTATAAAATTTATTTTTAGAACAAATGAATGTACTGTAATGATCAATTTTTCAGATGAAATAAAATTGATTTTACAGCTATAAGAACCTATAATAAACAAGATATTAAAATCACTGATTGCAAATACCTTACCTTGACTCACCACGGCAGTTGCATATAACATGTTCTGATGTTTCCTTCTCCTCATGACAGAGTCGACATGAATCACTTTCTACCACACCTATAATCTTCATGTGGTAATTAAGTCTACAGTGTCCTGTAAGAAGTTCAGTGTAGATTTTAATATCGTTTCTGCTAAGGTTGGTGATAGCATCAACTTTGATGTGTTCAGGATCAATAAATCTTTTTGACTGTTGCATGCCTGTTTGGGCTCTCCAGTGTTCAAGTAGATGTTGTTTTTCCCGTTCACATAATAAGTTATTTGTGAAGCTATTTGTTACCCCGCAGAAGGGCTCTGGACCAATGAAAGGAGTACATGCACCCTTCTTTGCTAACAAGTCTGCTATTTCATCGCCCTCATGTCCTTCGTGTCCCGGTACCCACATAAGAGTAACATAGTTCCTCGATACTAGGGTGTTGAGAAGTTGAATGCATTCCCAGACCAGCTTTGATTGGAATAAGGATTTTGCTAAAGATTTTAGAGCTGCTTGACTGTCTGACAGAATGCATATGTTGGTACCTCGGGTGCCTATACGTATGCATTCTCCTGCACATAGCTCTAAGGCATGGACCTCTGCCTGAAAAATGGAAGGAGTTTTTCCCATTGCTATTACTTTGGGGAAGTTTGGTCCCATAACTCCTGCCTGCACTGCCATTTTCCATTTTGGACCCATCAGTATACCATAATTGAGAGCCCTGCTTTAAGTTAATTTCATTATTTCTCCAAGTTGATCGGTCACTTATGACCACTTCGAATTCCCTAAAGAAGGCTAATTTTCTATTCATCTTGTCAAAGACCTTAACGCACGGAGAATTCCAGACTTCATCTAGTATCTTTGCGCGTCCTGTCAGATTGCCCTCTTTAAGATTACCTAGATAAGGAACCCTTAGTGCGGCATTGGTCGCAGTCCTTTTAACTGTGATGTGTAATGGAGTGAGTCCAGTAAGCATTGCTAGGGCTTCTGTGGGGCACGTTCTCATTGCTTCCATTACGCTTAGACAGGATGTTCGATGAATCTTATTGAGAGTCATCTTAGCCTTTGTCTGATTTACATTTGGCCACCATGCCAAAGAAGCATAGGTGATCATTGGTACTATTACGGTCTTGTACGACCAATTCATCATTTTTGGTTGCAGACCCCATGTTTTGCCATACAGTCTTTGGCACGCATAAGTTGCTCTTAGAGCTTTGCTAGTCACAAATAATAAATGGTTTTTCCAAGTAAGGGTTTTATCTAGAATTACTCCTAGATATTTCATTTCCTCAGATAGTATTAAGTCAGTGTCCCCTAACTTTAAGGTCCCTAGACTCATCTTCCTTCTTCTGGTGAAGGGTACTACGTTTGTTATATTCGGATTAATCGAGAGTCCTTTTTTCTTGACACCAATCTTGAGTGATGTCAAGAGCTAGTTGCATACGATCGGATATGGTGGAGTCAAATTTACCTCTAATTATGATGACTAGATCATCTGCACAGCCCTGAACTTCATATCCGAGGACACCAAGAGACTGTAAGAGTTCGTCAATGACCAATAGCCATAGGAGTGGCGATAGAACGCCTCTTTGAGGACATCCTATGGTTGACTTGACAGTTAATCTCTTCGTCCCCATTTCAAAGATTATCGTCCTATTTTTCAGGACGAGAATCCATGTTATAATCAATCTATGTATTTCCCTCCTGATTATTCCTTCCTCAATTGATCTGAATGTTGCATTATCAAAAGCTCCTGTAATGTCAACCGATGTAAAGAGCTATTTCCTTACCGTCTAAAGCTTTCTAGATTTTACTCGTCAGACTATGTATAACGGTCCCGGTCGATTTGCCCGACTGATGAGCATACTGTTAAATATTTAGAGGTGAAGCTTTAATGTAGACTTCCCTGATGTATTGATCTAGAATTTTCTCCATTGCTTTAAGCAGGAAAGAAGTAAGGCTAATGGGCCGAAAAGCTTTTGGCGTGTGATACCATTTAGTTTTATTGACTGTACAGACTTTACGGGCCAGTGAAAGATCTCTTCGTGTAACCAACAAGAAACGAGTATCCTCGATGGTTTCCATAATCTCAGTATACATGGCACAGCCTGGAAAATGAGTGTCTAGTAAAAGCTGTCCCGTTTCTTCCAGACTTTCCGAAAAGCTTCCGTCAGCCTTCTTTAGTGTAGAGAGACTATTTGAGTGGTCTGTGTTTAGAGATTTCTGGAGTTTTGCAGCCACAGGAAGAGTTTCAATCTGCTCGCAGTGCGTCCTCCATTATTCCCTTTGATTTGCTCAATTCCTTATTGTAAGCCGTTAAGGCACTCTTATAAGATGCCTAGTCCCCGCTGGACTTTGATCTATTAAGGAGCTGGCGGGCTTTTTTGCGCAAAAAGTCCAGTTCCCTATTCCACCATGGGACGTTCCTAGAACGTTTCTTTTTGACAAGTTCGCAGCTATTTTCAAAAGCCCCTATAATAATATTTTCTAGTTTGTTAACCTCAAGATTTAGTTCCTGACAATTAGTAATCCTATTCCCAAGACAACTAATGTTTTGTTCTAAATAGAAGTTACATAGAGACCAGTTGGTCTTCCTAAAATTTCTTATTGCGAAAATGTCTTCAATTTCCCCTTCCAAATCAAAGTGTATATATCGGTGATCTGATAAGGAGTTTTCCTCCAACACTCTCCAATTTGAAATGTTATTAGATATAAATGCGCTTGCTAAAGTAAGATCTAGTACCTCTTCCCTTATCGCATTTACAAAAATATGTTCATTACTTTTATTTACTACCAATAAATTGTTAGTTGTGATATAATCAAAAAGTGACTCACCTCCTGTATTGGTGTCCGTGCTTCCCTATACTGTATAGTGCGCGTTGGCGTCGCAGCACATTACCCACTGTAGGTTTCGGATACGGCAGTATTCTGTAAGCTGCTGGAGCTCTAGAAACACCGCTTCCTCTGCGTCGCCAGTGAGGTACAGAGATGCAAAAACAATTTTTCTCGTTCCCCTAGTACTAGGCACTTCTGCCTGTACCGCCACCAAGTCACGCTGTATGAGCTCTGTAATTGGAAGAGATTTAATATTTTTGTTAATCATTATCGCCGTTCTAGGACGATCAACATTATTTTCATAGATCAACTTACATGTTCTTGTCTGTAGACCGGTTATGCGCCTCTTTGTGGCCCATGGTGCTTAGATGGCCACAAAATCCAGACAGTACTGTTCCACCAGGGCACTGAGCCTATATGAAGCTGCTATATCCCGGTGGATGTTGATTTGGAGGCAATGAAGCTGCCTCCAAAAGTTTTGCGGATGTGGCGGAGTCCAAGACATTATTTCCCAGACTTTCCCTTGCGGACCTTGCCGCCCTTAGTACCGCGCAGCAATTCAGCGGCCTCTGGGTCTTTCCTTTCCCATTTCCTGA